ATAACACCTAGAGCCACACTGTCTATAGGAAAAAGACCCATACAGATAGATATTTAAACGGTGATTCTCATCACCATCCTTGACAGTTACCTACCGTGGTAAATCTTTGCTTCAGAGAGCAAGAGGGATCTGTGACAGTAAATACCTGGCCGCCGAGCTCCAACAAGTCAAACAAGTTTTTTAGAGGTACACGGAGCCTAAACATTAAGTTAGAGAGATCTCGTTTAATGCATTCAGCGCTCCGTCCCCTTCGTGTTCTAGTCCAAAGTCCCGAAACATTTCAGCTTGAGTTACAAAACCGTTTTCAGTTCCTAGAAGACTGCAATCGTGGAAACTGTCCATGCGGTCGGAGCTATACTCTGCCAGACCCGACACAGAAGAACACAAAAACTCTCTGATCATACCCTTAATCGTATGGCTGTTAGACGGGAAATGAAGCTGCAGTATTCAACAGATTTGACAGCATACAGGCAACTGAAAAGACAGATCTCCAAATGCATGCGCCGGGACTTACGCAACTGCAATATAGCTCGTATTGAAAAAGAGATCGAGCGGAACCAAGGCTCCAAAGTCTTTGTCAGAGATCTGTCTGCCAGAAAGAGCCAACTGACAAAGCTGAAGACCTAATGTGGCAGCATCATTTCTGGGACACCTGAGATTTTGATTGGGATTGAGTAGTTCTCTGGGCCACACTCAAGTCTGAGTAACGATCCAAGAGCGAGTCTTATCCGACACTATTCCAAAGATATCCCGGACGTCAGCCTGAGCGAGATTAGAATGGCTCTCCAGTACCTTAAAAACGGGCAAGGCCCCAGGTTAGGATGGAATTACAGCGGAGCTTCTGAAAGTGGGTGGAAAACTGGTATTTGAAGTCCTTCAGAGGCTATTAAATTCCGTCCTCCATGATAGCACTACTCTGGAGGCGTGGAGCAGAAGTGCGACGGTCTTGTTCTTTGAGAAAGGCGACAACACTCTCTTAAAGAACTACAGCCCGATTTCCCTACTGAGCCGCGTCTACGTGCTATTTTCGAGAGTCATTACGAATCGTCTCGCATGCAGACTTGACGACTTCCAGCCTCCCAAACAAATCGGTTTCTGAAAAGACTTTAGTACCATGGACCACATACAAACCCTTCGGAAAATTGTACAGGAGACAGAAGAGTATTAGAAAGCCTTTGATTCCGTCGATGTTTGGGCGGTGCTACAGTCCCTTCAGCGATGTCGAGTTGACTGTCGGTATATCGAAGTGCTGAAGTGTTTGTACAGTAGGACTACGATGGCTATCCCAGTACAAAATCAGAGTACGAAATCTATCCATCTGCAGAGTGGTGTAAGACAGGGTTACGTTTTATCCCCGAAACTCTTCACCGCTGTATTGGAAGACGTTGTCAAGCTTCTGGATTTGAAAAGATACGGTATTAACATCAACTGCGAGTACATCACTCACCTTCGATTTGCCGACGATATAATTCTTATGGCAGAATCGCCGGAGAACCTGAGCACTATGCTTAAAAACCTCAATAGTGTCTCCCAACGGATAGGTCTTAAGATGAACAAGGACATAACAAAGATCATGTTTAATGTCCATGTCACACCTATGCCGATAGTTGCTGGGAGCACCAAGCTCGAAGTTGTTGACGAGTATGTTTACATGGGACAAATAGTCTGACTTGGTAAGTCCAACTTCGACCGATAGGTCAAACGACGGACTTAACTCAGCTGGGCAGCGTTCGGGAAACTACGACACATCTTCTCGTCAGGTATACCTCAAAACCTGAAAACAAGATTGTACAACCATTGCCGTGTTGCCAGTGATGACTTATGGATCTGAGACGTGGTCCTTCACTGCTGGCCGTATGAGGACGCTCAAGGTCGCTCAGTGAACTATGGAGAGTGCTATGCTCGGAGTTTCTCTGCATGATAAACTTAGAAATGAGGATATCCACAGTATACTTTGGGTAACCGACATAGACGTACCGGTAGGCAAAGTGTAGGGCGTCCCCCCACTAGATGAAGTGACGACCTGGTAAGACATGCAGGAAGTTGGTAGATGCAGGTGGCTCAGGACCGTGCTTTGTGGCATTCCTTGGGGGAGGCTTATGTTCAGTAGTGGCCTAGTCAATAGCTGTAATGATGATGGTGATGATGTTCGTTACTCCTACCATAGCATGAATTTTAGATATCACGTGTTACATTCACCGTTGTTAGTAAAGTCCACAATGTAAGTACTCATAAGTAGACAATATAGACGATAGGATTAAATGACAAAGAAACTTATAGTGGAAACCCTAAGTCTAGCCAATAGTGTACGTCTGGCGTGTAGTGTTAATAACATCGTTTCTAAGATATATACCGCTAATAAGCGAATATACTAGTTTATGATATTAAGGTTTTGTATTTTTGTGTTAATAATTAGAGTTTTGCCGTCTTTGTTGTTAATAATTTGGGTTTTGCCGTATTTTATCCTGCATAATATCTTATAAGTATTGACTATGGAAAATCTTAGAAGTATCTCATTGATTCCGACTTATGTTGCTATAACTATATCGTTAACGCTAGATGTAATGTAATAAAATCGGCGATGGGGGGCAACTTCATAAACACGAAAGGCCATTTATTGTAATCACCTAACCGCCTTTACTTTAATCACCTAACCGACGATTAAGATAAATAGAATCAGGCGTTACTTTACAGATATCCGTTATATTAAAGATGTTGCGATATTATTACTATATAGGATTATGTTTTCTGTTTCGTAGTACGTCTGGGTTTGTACTACTCTTTTACCTTTTGCTACCGCCAAACGGAAGTACCTCCACGAAAAACATAGCATGTTACGATACATATTCATACTCGATAGAAGAGGAATAACTTACGAGTAGTTTTATTTAAAAAAAAATGTTTTATAAAAGTCTACGTTAAAATTTAATATTATAAAACTGTATGGGAAGGTACTGATATCCTAAGATACAGGATTAATGCTAGTTAAGGAATCAGCGCAACAATTTGTTTGTAACCTATATAAGTTTTAATAAAGATTATTATTATTCGGTATCTATAAAGTCTTCTCATCTGGTTGGGAAATATAAATATATAATTGTAAATAATCATGGTAAACGTATATAAATATCAATAAAATAAAATAAATACATAAAAATACATAAATATATAAAAACCCAACCAGATGGAGCCCTCGGCAGGGGAGACCAAACGGCCGAGGGTTAGGGGGAAAGGGAAAGAAACCGGCGGACGATGCGGGCGGTATCGAGGAGCACCGCCTTCTGCATTTGAGCTTGGAGCGGTCCGTCACGGAGTCCCAGTTGCCTCAGATGACCCGAGAGGCTGATTGGAATTAACCCATTCGCAGAGACGACTACAGGTATAATATCGGCCGGCAGTCCACCCCACATGTCGGTCACCTCGTGAGCCAGGTCCAGATATTTTGTCAGCTTATCTGTTTCGGCTTTCACGAGGTTCTCGTCATAAGGAATGGTAATGTCGACCAAAAACATCCTTGAGTGTGTCCGGTCCATCAGTACAATATTAGGCTTATTCGCAAGAATAGTCCTGTCTGTGATGATGGCCCGGTCCCATTAGAGCCTGGCGCGGTCATTTTCGAGTACGGCTTCCGGCAAGTACTTATAATACGGCAGTTTCCGATCCACGAGACCATATTTCAGAGCGAGCTCCTGGTGTAGAATCCTGGCTACTAAGTTGTGCCTTTGCAAATACTCAGAGTTAGAAAGCGCCGAACAACCGGAGATGACATGCCTAAGTGACTCACCGGGATGGCGACAAGCTCGACAGACGTCGACGGTGCCATCCTTTAGGATGTATCTCCGATAATTGTTGGTCTTAATAACCTGGTCCTGTATCGCACAGACAAAACCCTCGGTTTCCCCAAAGAGGTCACCGAAACGTAGCCAGTGGAGGGAGGCGACTGTGTCTACGCAAGGCTCATATAGAGCCTTGTAGAACCTCCCGTGGAGCTCCTTCTCCTTCCATACGGTCTCCCGTTTGGAAATACTCTGTACTGCCGGGTCTTGCCATTGCTCGTTGGCTAAGGATAGAGGGGTAAGTCCTTTATCACAAGAAATAACGTCCCTATAGAATGGATCATCCGCTCTCGTCAGAAAGTAATTACGGAGGCTGCACACTTCGCGATTATGCATGGTAAGCGCGCTTAAAAAGCCGCGCCCACCATGCTTCCGCGGCAAGTACAGCCTCATTACTGACTATCTCGGATGATGCATCCTGTGGGACGTCATTATAGTGCGGACTTTTCTGTCCAGAGCGTTTAGTTCGGTCTGAGTCCACCTGAGTATGCCAAAGGTATACATGAGAACAGGCATGATCCAAACGTTATATGCGTGCGTCTTATTCACACCGGACAATAGGCTGTTAAGCACTTTGGTCAAGCGTGCATAAAACACATCGCAAACTGACTGTTTCATACCCGCCTCATCTACACCGATGTTCTGTGACATACCCAGGTATCGGTATGTTTCAGCCTCGGAAAGGGTCCTTATGTTGATGGCCATAGATAAATCTATGCCCTCAGAGTTAGCAACCCTTCCCCTTTCAACATGGAGGACCACACACTTATCCGTCCCCAGCTCCATTCTAATAGAATTGCTAAAATCACAAGTGATGTTTAGCAATTCCATAAGATGAGAGCTACTGGAGGCGAATAACTTGAGATCATCCATATGGAAAAGGTGGGTCACTTTCGTACCTCCCTTCCGAAGCTGAAATCCCCTCCTGGAGCCCTCCAGTAAGGTACTGAGAGGGTTCAGAGAGAGACAGAACCAGATTGGACTCAAGCAATCGCCCTGGAAGATACCCCTTCTTATCTTTATGTGGTTCTCCGCAGCCATCATCCGTTCGCCTAGATGACAAAGGATCGTACTCCACTACCCCATACACTGCCTGAGGAAGTCTCTAACTGTACAGTCAATCTTGTACAGCTCGAGGACCCTCTTAAGCCATGCATGAGGCACCTAGTCGAATGCCTTTTTGTAGTCTATCCAGGCGGCGGAGAGGTTCCGACGGTTGCGTTTAACCACCTTGCCAATGACCGCGTCAATGAGGAGTAGTTTCTTGGTTCCACGACCACCGCCCTTACATCCATTCTGAGCGCGCGACATCACCTGATTTAAGTTCAGGTGACGACTGATTCTCGCGCTCAAAATGGATGTTAGTGTCTTGTATATCGTGGGTAAACACGTGATGGGGCGGTATTTGCTCGGGTCTGTGGTTTCCTGATCTTTAGGAACCAAATGAGTGATCCCAGTAGTGAAGAGGCTCGGGAGCGACTTCTGGTCGAGATCCTCTTGAAACTGTCGGGCGAGGACAGCGTGACACACCACGAACCCCTTCAGCCAGTAGTGATGCAGCCCGTCGAGCCCCGGACTTTTCCAGTTCGGGGCCCTACGGACCGCCTCAACTACGTCACCCGGCGTTATGATGACGGGGTCCATGGGCGTAATATTCGCACACTGACTCGCCACAACTTCCTTCCAAGGGCCCTCGCTGTGGTTTACGGGCTTTGACCATAGGCCGCGCCAGAATGCGATAATGTCGGCCTGATTCGGTGCTGGGCCCGTTCCACGTACCATTGGCCGGTCCAATGATTCATAGAGCCTCTTCTGATCACTCTAAAAGAGACGATTCTGGTTGAACCGTGTCGACCTCTCGGTATATCGCCGAATCCGCTTCCCCCAAGCAGCGATTCTCTGCTTCAGGTCGTCTATGCGCTCCGTCAGTTTTTGCGTTATATCCGGCTGGGACAAACTGATATTTGTCCCAGCAAACGTCATCCTGACGGTGCGCACAATTCTCGGCCTATTATTACCTGACCTGAAGCTTATCAGCCTGCCGATGAGGGCCCTTGCCTTTACGATACGGTCCTCAATCCTTCTTCTCCAGGCTGGGATGGCGCTACTTTGTCTAGTAGCGCGTCCAGCCATGGGAAGTTTGGCGCCAACAATACGGCAAACTGCCAGTGCGGCGCCAAAAAGAATTGAGTCCGTCTCGCAAAGGTCCCGGCTGGCTTCCAAATAGGTCACCAGCATTGGGTTGAGAGCCCTCACGACAGCCCAATTCCGCTTGCTTAGGGGTATGCGCGGGAGTCGCGGTCGATTTTCGAGAGGCGTACTGCGGGTTTCTACAATCGTCTCCTCCAATTTACTCCTCATCTGATCTAGTTCTTGGGTGACCATTCCATCATCGCCTGAATCAACTAGAGCGGGGAGATCCATGGCGCCCTCTATATGTGGCTGCTAGTCTGTGGCCTGAGGAGCCGCATCCCCAGCTATAGCTGGTTCATTCGATGAGGGAATAGCCTCACCCCGTAGTCGTTCGAGTTCGGCATCATCAAATATTTTCGAGCGTATGATGTACCGAACTCGGTCTGCCAGGTTTTGCTCCGTGATGGGAACAGACGGCTCAAGCTCAGCAAAAAGCGATGCATCCGAGTTTCTTCCCCTTGCGCCCCATAGTACGCCTGCAATGCGTTAATGTTCATATTTTTTTGTCCAACGCATGCGGCGTACTCCACCAGCGGCGGGTGCCGCTTGCCGAGTCCGAGAGGACCCCGCCGACACCAAGCCGTCTGGTGGGGATGATGGACGCGAGGGGTTACTAGGTGGTCGTGCAGCACCTCGCGCTCGGCTGGCGGCTCGCATGCTGTCACGTCCAGCGCCAGCTCCAGACGCGCCCCGGCGACCCCCAGGCAGCGGCCCTATGCGCGTTCTATTTTTATCCATCATCCATTAATTTGGGCGTCAATTAACGGGAGACGCCCAGACCCGGCGACATTTAATAGTGTAGCCGTAAGCACAAACGGGCCTTTGCACCCTCAATACTGCCGAGGCACGGCGCTCACACCTCTTGGCAAGGCGCTGACTGACTGCGCTGACATAGCAGTTTTGTCACTTAGCTGTTACGTCACTTCCCTATGCCTTTAGAGAGATTAGATTATTATTATTATTACGATTCGATGAGTATAAAGAGCCAGTATACGAGTAATTCCATATTGTGAGGCATTCTCTTTAAGCGCTGTACATAGTCAAACTAGGCTTCACAAAACAGTTTTTTAACAAAGTATATACATTTTAGAGTTGCAAAAAATATATGTTAATCTTGATCATATTTATGGTGGGACCATTGTTTTCAAAACACGTTTTCGGTACATTTTCTCGATAGAAAAAAATTCATAAAATAGCCATTAGAATTGAATTTCTAGCAATTGTAACTGTATTATTTATAAGCAAATCTTAATAAAATTAATAACAGTGATGTAATACATAATAATAAGGGGAACTGTTGTTTTTATTTGTCGATTGATATAAAAAATTTGTAAGTATTAATATATTTAATGAAAAATAATTCGAACGAAACGATGTTTCGCATCGCGCCATCGTGGAGTCTTTTCGCTTCTCTTTTATTTCTACGCGGAGCGACAGTGATCGTTGAGGCACGCTGCTAGATGGACCTGTACCAATTTGTTTCGCCGTTCAAAAATCATTTACGTATCTGTTTGTTCTTAAGGACGCGTTTGCAAAATTGATAGGTATAGAATCGAACTATTACATTGACACGGGTCACACATACAAGTGTACGCACCGCTAGCTGCGGGAATCGTAATCAAGTAAGACATTTTGATACTTTGAAAGTTTGATTTTATTTCTCACTTCTTATAACTACAAAAATATTCTTAGATACGAAATTAGAATATCTACCTGTGTGACCTGAAAGCGTACATCGGTGACTGCTGCTGAAACTCCTGGACGAGTAGAATAAGGTGTGCCAAGTTTAGGCACGTTTTGTTAGTTATGATGAGACCTTACCTCTGGACTTGATGGAGTAACCTGAAGGTGTACATTGGGGACTGCTACTGGCACTCCTCGACGAGTAGAACTAGATGTGCCGAGTTTGGGCTCGATTTGTTAGTTATGATAAGACGTTACATTCGGGATTGATGGAGAGACCTGATGGTGTACTTCAGTGACTTGATACTGGAACTCCTTGACGAGTAGAACTAGGTGTGCCGAGTTTGGGCTCAATTTGTTAGTTATGATGAGACCTTACTCCGGACTTGATAGAGAGACCTGATGGTGTACTTCAGTGACTGCTACTCTGTAACTACTCCACGAGTAGAACTAGATGTGCCGGGTTTGGACTCGATTTGCTAGTTATGATGAGACCTACCTCCGGACTTGATGGAGAGACCAGATGGTGTACTTCAGTGACTGCTACTGGGACTCCTGGACGAGTAGAACTAAGTGTGCCGAGTTTGTGCTCGTTTTGTTAGTTATGATGATACTTTATCTCCGGACTTAATGGAGAGACCTGATGGTGTACTTCGGTGACTACTACTGGAACTGCTGGACAAGTGGAATTAGGTGTGCCGAGTTTGGGCTCGTTTTGTTAGTTATGATGAGACCTTAACTCTGGACTTGATGGAGAGACCTGATGGGGTACTTCGGTGACTACTACTGGAACAGCTGGACAAGTGGAACTAGGTGTGCCGGGTTTGGGTTCGTTTTGTTGGTTATGATGAAACTTTACCTCCGGACTTGATAGAGTATCCTGAAGGTGTACTTCGGTGACTGCTAGTGGAACTCCTGGCCGAATAGAATAAGGTGTGCCGAGTTTAGGCTCGTTTTGTTAGTCATGAGGAGACCTTACCTTCGGGCATGATGGAGAAATCAGATGTTGCACTTCAGTGACTGCTACTGGAACTCCTGGACGAGTAGAACTAAGTGTGCCGAGCTTGGACTCGTTTTGTTAGTTATGATAAGACCTTACCGCCGAACTTGATTCAGAGACGTGAAGGTGTACTTCGGTGAAGGCGGCAGCAGCTATGCGTGAGCGTGATGCAGCGCTACCTGAAGGAACATTGAGCAAAGATGGCATACCTCTAATAGACATAAATGATGACGGCTGTTGGTCATCGCGATCCTACGGAAATAATTATAAGGCATTGTCATTGAATCATACCGTTCAAAAAGTTGAATGCCGAAACCATGTGTTGCGTAATATTTGCAATAAGTTGAGAGCTATAAGTAAAGACACAAAATATGCCTTGGTGCACAGAAAAATGCTAACTGAATTATTTTTCTTTCCACAATTTATATTATTAGATTTCCCTCCGTATGCGTAAATACATTAAAATAATAAAATAAAATTAAAATAATTAACTTGTTTAATTTTTTTGTATTCTTCAAACAACCCACAAATAAAAAAAAAAAGCAAATGCAAAAAATGCAAAAAGGTTATTCACTCGGGAAAAAAATTATGATACGGCTGTTTTTTTTTCGATTTTAGGGATAGCGCTATAGTAAATTTTTTTTATAATAGTTTACTTTACTCTTGATTCTGAAGAAAAATGTCCATAGGAAAAAAAATTATTGTTTTTATAAATTTACAATTTTGACAATTTGCCGTTTCGAGAATTATTATTCATTTGATGAATCGGTTACAAAAGTTCTCGATAACCTTTTCTAGAAAATAACAATTATTGATTATTTTAAAATTAAGAAAATAGAATATGTACATATTTTAAAAATAACAACACGAAATTATGTAGGTACATAATATTTTTAGAATAACTAAATAAAAATATGTACATATTTTAGATACGAAAATAAACGTAGAAACATTTTAAAAATACGAATACAAAATTTATATCTGATAGGATTCGAACCACCTGACATCGCAGAAACGCGGTGCGAAGGCGGACGGTGGCGCGCTGTACCAATTGTACATGTTACGTCGAGCGTCGGCGAGATTCACGCGGTGCCTTATCTGTTTCACCCCCTCAAATTTATAAAAGTCGTCTATACACCTCGCCTTAAGCTTATTCTAAAACGTGATGGCTTTTATTACATTTCCGATTAAGTTTGTACTATCCAAATCCATCAAAAGATGAAAATAAAATTAAAAGTTCAATTAGTATTAGACTACGTAAACTATCAGGGACTTGAATTTCATTTTCATAGAAAACAAGAAGTTTAAACAAAATCAACTATTTTACATAAAGATTTCTTAAATTTACGCGAACACTACACATTGAATAAAACTGTTTTTACGGATTTTATCGCGTTTAATTAACTTATTTTATATTCCCGACGTTTCGGTTGCTTTCCAGCAACCGTGGTCAGCGGATACTGACCACGGTTGCTGGAAAGCAACCGAAACGTCGGGAATATAAAATAAGTTAATTAAACCCGATAAAATCCGTAAAAATAGTTTTATTCAATATTTTACATAAATATTAATCTAATCATTCGGTAGTAGCTTAGCAACTTGACAGATTACTTTTTATGGCTAAATATGCGTCTGTGAACACTACAGGATTGCCCCCGTCACTACATTAGATTTGAACATTGGGGATATAAAATAAGTTTATATACGCTATAAAATCCGTCAAAACTAGTTTTATTTAAATGCGTAGTGTTCGCCTAAATATAAAAAA